GATGCACGCATGCACGCACTAACTACATTGTTTTAAGTTTATGCTTGTAAAGTACACTTCAGCTTGACTTGGTCAGAGTGCATGAACTTCTTGGCATAAACATTCTAAAGCAAAATCTAGGACATTGGTATGATTTAAACTATCCGTTCAGGCCTTTCAACTTTTATACACTTGTTTTATTAATGCACCGGTGATGGTCTCAGTTTTGAAATGTCAGCCATTGTGAGGCCAACCAGCCAGGAACTTATAGCGGTTAGAAGGTAGTTTATTACTAGGGAGGCTGAGGTAGGAGATCTCCTGGTTAAAGGCTAGGCAGGACAGTATATTGAGACCCTATAGGAAAGAACTGAGAAGGGAGAGGGGGAAGGAGGAGATCATTTATACTTATAGTTCACAAAAGGAGGACACAACACCATGTCACAGGAAGGAGAACCAAGTCAACTCCAAGGCCAAAGAGGACAGAGAATCTGTGGGTAGAAGCCACTGTGACAGTTTCTTTAGTAAGGATGGAAATCAGTGGCAGGATGAGTCAGTGGGTTCCTAGAAACAGGGTCCTTCCCTACTTTTCAGTGAAAGCCCCATGGAAAGGTGACTGGAACAGGTGCTCTTGGTTGGCTCATTTGCATATTAAAGGCAAGCTTGCAGACCAGTTTCAGATCTCTAGGTACTGGCTAACCCTAGGAAGGACAGTCTCTCCAGATGCCATAGCAACAGAAGTACAGAAAATAAAAGTTGTGTATAATACACTCCGCACACTGAATACTCTGCTGATAAAGCCCAGTGAAAATGTTTAAAAGACCAAGTCATAAACTCAGAAGAAACTTGAATTTAATATAATAGGAAGACACAGGAATAACTGATTTCAATATGAGTGTGAGGGATGACACGTGCCTGCGGCATCAGCACTTGGGAAGCAGAAAGGGGAAGATCAGGAGTTCAGGGCCAACCTTAGAATGTACTGAGTTGAGAGAGTAAGTTGAGGTCAGCCTGGACTACAAAAGAGCTTGTCTCAAAGATCTCACCCCCTAAAAAATAGTGTGTATGTGTGTGTGTGTGTATGTATGTGTGTGTGTGCATGTGCATGTCTGTGTTTGTGTGTAATATTGCATGCCTTTAATATTAAATACTAAGTACAATAGTCTTGATGAACACAAGGTATTAAGTCTATTATGTGGCAAAGAAAGCACCTATCTGGCTTTGACATCTTTGACATATGAACTGTCTTCTCTTTAAGGTATATTTCAGGTATTGTGCATTATGCTTGTCAGATTTTTTTCTTTTAATCTTACACTTATCATTATTACCTTATAATTAGTTTTTTAAAAATACAAGCTCTGTGTAGTAGGGTGAGCAGGCTGCTTGTTCTTCCCGGCCACCCGGCTAGCTTAAGCCCCGAAATAATCACACAGAAACTGTATTCATTTAAACACTGCCTGACCTGCCTCTTATTGGCTAACTCTCACATCTTGATTCAACTCATTTCCAATAATCTGTATGTCACCACGAGGTTATGGCTTAGCAGGAAAGATTCAGTATGTCTGACCTGGCAGTTCCATGGTGGTTCTCCCTGGCTCTGCTTTCTTTCTCCTAGAATTCAGTTCTGTCTTCTCAGCCTACCTAAGTTCTGCCCTATCAAAAGGCCAAGACAATTTCTTTATTCAACCAATGAAAGCAACACATAGAGAGAAGGACCTCCTACACCAGTTCTGTGAAATTAATATTCTAGAAAATCATCCTATAATATGCATATGGGCTTTTAGTAGGTATTAATGAGAATCCTATGGTCTGTTATATTTAGGAAATGCTAGATCAGACAACATTATAGAGGATTTTTCTGCAGGCCTTCTCAGAGCATTTGACAAGAAACACGGATAGCAAATCTCAAAGGCTGAGTGAGTACAGAGTAATGTGTGACCCATGACTATGCTGGACACTGTAGATCAACAAGAAATTGTTCTAATTTCATTTAATTTTGCAGTCAAGAAGGAGTTCATGTAAGAAAGGTGGATAAGAATTGGGAGGGAAAAGAAATTAATCCAGGCATAGTGACTTAGTCCTGTAATCCTGGCACACTCGGGAGGCTGAAGCAGGAGGATCATTCTAAGTTCCAGGTCAGCCTGAGTTATTTATTAAGTGAGACCTTATGTAAAAAAAATAATCAGAGAGAGGGAACAAAGAGGGCATAAGGCCAAAATATGTTATAATGCATTCTGAAAGTACACATTATACATATTATGAAATTACCATGTAGTATGCAATTATCCCAATAAAATCCATTATTTTGTACTAATAAAAACGTAGTCCATTTTCTAGCTAGAGAAATGAGATATAAATACGTTAAATTTTGGAGAATGATAGAAGAAAATAATACAGAAGATATAAAAACATAGGAGTAAGTGGGGCTGCAGAGATGTCTCTGTGGTTTGGAGCATTTGGTCCTCTTACAGTAGACAATTCCCTGCTGTACATGGTGCCTAACAACCATTCATGACCCCAGTTCCAGGGGATCTGACCCCCTCTTATGGCCACCACATGTACCAAACATGCGTGTGTACACGTAAAGACATGCAGGCAAAGCACTCATATGTATAAAATAAAAGAAACTTTTCAAAAGTAGTAGTGATCAATTGTCAAATAACTGAAGTGATAGTCAAAGGTTTGAAGGACGGATGGGAAGAGCAGAACCGTGAATGTGCCCCCTTGCAAGAGACCTGAGAGGTGAAGTCCAGTGGCTTTAGGATGGAGAATCAGGGCAAGGTTCTTAGATCCAGACTTAAAGGTGCGTTCACGTGGAAGCACTCAGAGACGCTCAGTGATGGTAGACTTAGGAAGAGGGTCAGGATTCTGTGTGTCTAACAAACTCCCAGGTAGTGCTGCGGCAGCTGCCCCCAGGTCTACAGTATGAGAAACTAAAATCAGGCACCAGTGGACATTTCCTAGAAAGTAAAGAATGAGAGTTTCAGCACTGGACAGTCAAGTGTGACTCCTTCCTGACTCCACTGGCATATAACAGTCACAGCCACAAGGAAATATATGATTGGATGAAAAATTAAAGATTGACTGAAAAGTTTTAGGTTATTGTCATTTTCAGTATCTTCTTCTGATGTTCCCTCTCAGCCAGTTCTAAAGTGGGAAAGGTAAGATTTGCTGGCAGCCATGTTAAAACAGGTTTGCAGGCTCTCAATTGCAGCGTTAGAGGGTGAGATTCTGCATACACACTCGTGTAGCTGTCAAAGGCCTCCCATGGATATCATCATCGTCTTCTTAAAGATCCCCTACCTTCCCATTTTTCCTTTTCCCTTAATGTTGTGTTTATTTCTTTTTTCCTGGAAGCCAAAACCAACTAACGCCAGAACCAACTAATGCCAGAAAAGACAGGCAAACTCCACAATTAGTTTCAGAGTTTATCAAACATGGTTCCACGCTTTTCTCATAAACAACACTTAAAAGTTGCATGTTCAGTGAAGGCTTTGTCTGTTAAGCAAGCCTCTGAGGGTTTTTTTTTGTCACAAGAATTAATGCAAAGGACCAGAAAAGAAATCCAAAGAAGGGAAAGTGTGGGTAAAAATGGTTGGAGAGTAACCCTTGAGGGCTGTGTAGCAGGTAGTGAGCCTCTAGAATATTGGACAGAAACAGAAGTTTATCATAAAACAAAACAATAGAAAATAAAACTAAGGGGAAAGTCACTAGGAAGCCATCAATAACAGACCCAAGGTTCAAGAAGTGACCAGTGGAAGAAATTCAGGAGAATTATTAGTCTGATGACAGACATGTAATTTACCATTGATCAGAAAGAGAACTAGCGTGATCAATGAAAGCCAACACCACACTTAGTGCTTGTAGGTAGCAAGCTGGACTACGACTGTAAAAGGAGAGAATGAAGGGGATGTGACATAGCTTTAGCCTGGATGAATCTCTAAGACTTCATGCAGACAAGAACAATCACACAGTGCCCCAGAATTAAGAAAGACTGCCCCAAAATGATGTGAGCCTCACTACATAGAACAGTGCATGGTGTAGGTTCATTCTGTTCTATTTTTAAATTCTGCTCTGTAAGTAGCGGCATGTGGCTTTTAGTATGGCTTCTGGATTGGCATTCTGAGAATCTGCAAGGCCTTTGCTTCACTGACTTTGTTTTCAAATTAAATATGGACCTGCACCCCGTAACTCCAGATAAAATAATTAGTCCCCAGTCTTGTCTTATTTTCACAAAAGGATGTGAAGCCCAGAGAATTTTATAGACTATCAGACTCAGAGCAAATTTCTTAGTGTTATTAAGAGCTGAACTGAAAACATGCTTCCAGAATCTCCTGGCTTCTTAGCTTAAACAAGCATGTTTCCGTGGTTCTTAAGAATACGTCACACTAGCAGGTTTGAGGGAAAGGTGTTTGCAATCAGCCACAGCCTCCTGCCGCACCATCTTGGCCTAGAAAGGAAAGTATCAACTAGCAAGAATGAATTACAGCTCGCTTCTCTTTCTCTCTCCATCGTAGAGAGCAAAACCGCCAGCTTGAAACTACTGTGAAAATCAGGAGTATGAACGCATTCGATCCTGGGCTGCTCAGTGCTCAGAAGTCTTGCTGGTCAATTCACATTGCTTTAATGACCATATTTCCTAAGCATTGCCAATAGTTTAAACATCAAGTTTATATTCCTTTTATGCTCTTCCTTAGATAAGAGTAATAGGTAAAATTGTAATGATCATGGAAGTCCTACATTATAAAACATGTTATAAGACACTTTGGGTTTTAGTTCCTTAAGATTATAATCAAAACAGTCTTTACAAGTTCAACAAGGTCACTTATTTTAAGGTTACTATAATGTGCAAGATGCTTGACAAAGAACATCTTCGTGGGGTAGGTGTGTCTAGTCATTAATTTCACGGTCTAGGTTTACCGAGCAAACATCTTCCGGCATAGCATGAGCCTTGCTTCGTTAGCACGCAGCCTCTGCCTTATTCTGTGCCTCACCCATCCTGCTGTCGTCTGTTTGTCCTGCAGATGGTTCTGTGAAGGGAAGGAACTGTTCAACAGTCCTGACATTCAGATCCACGGCGACGGCGCGGAGCTACACACCTTAGTCATTGCTGAAGCCTTTGAGGACGACACAGGTCGCTACTCGTGTCTGGCTACAAACCCCAGCGGCTCAGACACCACATCTGCAGAGGTGTTCATTGAAGGCAAGTGGGGTGTGGTGGGGGGAAATGGGAGTGGTCTTCTGGCTGTCCTCCAGACATCCCTGCAGTCCCGTGGATGTAATTTTCCAGAGCAAACAGCGCTGTGGTGGTGTGGGTCAAACCAAACCTCATTTCTCCTGAACAGTTCTTGAATTACATTTCATTCTCACTTGACTGGTTCTGACACCTAGGCAGGCATCCGTTAGTTCCTTTTCCTCTCTGCCACATTTAACTTGAATTTATTTACAATATAAAGAACCCAATTTAGTTCTTCTCTCCTCAAGTAAATGAAGTATGAAAATGTAATTGAAACACTGTATCATCCAAAGTTATAAAAGATTTAGGAAGTTATTTACTCATGGGAATTAGAAGTGATGAGTTTTTTGAAATGTTTTCATTTTTTTTACTAACTTTGAGCACTGTGTTGTTGTTTTTGTTTGTTTTTTGTTTTTTTGTTTTTGTTAGGGCTCCCTTATTTCCACTAATTAACTAAGAACTTGAATGGGTTGGTGCAGATGGTTTCAAAAGCTGATGCTGTAAGAGCAGTTTGAGAGAATGGAATAATTCTATTGTCCAGTCATTGATCTTTTTTAAAAATAAAACCAAGCCTTGTGAAATTGGAAAACTTGATTACCAAAATATTATAGTTTAAATAATATTTTTGGATCAGTACCAATAGTTCTAAATAATTGGAAGTGTTTTAAGCACCACACTTCTCAGATTGCCTTTAAATCTACAATTTCATGGCTATCCCATAAATCAGATGCTTCTTAAAATAATAGCTACAATCTCAAACAAGCATGGAAATACTTGAAGCCTCTACTACGTTGATCTTCAGTTTTCAGCTATTTTTGTCTAATTACATTATACTTCTTCATAGCTAAAGCTAAAGAAAATAAGATCTGAACTTTTGTCCAGAGCTCCTTCAAGAACCAGCAAAAGAGTTTAAAAAGCAACAGTAAGGCTGACTAAAAACTGGTACCTTTGCTTTTGAAAGGACTTTCCACTTCGCATGAGTGTTTACAGGGACCTCTAGCAACTTGTCCTCTTAATAAAAGCAAACATTGTGTGAGTGATGCCTATGACCTGTATGACACTTGTGAAGCACGCACGCACACACACACACACATGCACGCAGATAAATTTCTTTAAGCTTCACTGTCCGTTCTTGGAGGCATTTCTCCGATTTTCCATTTTACAAATGAGAAACAGACCTAGAAATGTTGAGAGGGTTCCTCCAATTTAAAGTGCCTGATCTTAGCCACGCCACTGTACTGGTAAATATTTAAAAGTGCTTCCATGGTGAAAATTTGATGACAAAGAGAATTCTTCTTTCATAATGAATTATTAGCAAGTGTCACTAACGGACGGGCAGTATAGTGAACTTCTCTTGGCATTTTCAAGCACAGCGAGAAGACTGAAAGAAACCTGCTTGCAGGTTCTGATCTCTGTTTGTTCCAAACTCCTTAAAATGCAATGTCTCGTTTCCTTGGAGACTTGCTAGAAATAAATTGGATTTTTTTTCCTATGTGCAATTTTCCCAGGATACTCACTAACCTCTCTGGTCACCAGTTTTTGTGCATTTAGATAGTGTGTGACCTTGGATGGATTAAGGGAGGATAAGGGAGCTGGGTGAAACAAGGTAAGAAGCCAGTAAGATTCATCTTCCTAAGATAAACTACTACAGAAATTGACTAACACTGACTTGTTAATTGAGGATAAATATTAAAGTTTTAAGTGAAATTTTCAGTATATATGTATCCCTGAGAAGAATGACATGAGATAGGAGCCAAGCTCAGACACATTCTTAGTCTCACTCAGAGTCCAAGGAAGAAATGTTTGCCTTCACTAATTCCAGCACTGATTACATGCAGGCCTTGCTAATACCACACACACAAGGAGCTGCTAGAGGTCTACCAGAAGTAGAGAAGTTGTGGCATTTTTAATATCAACAAAATCTTTCCATGAATATTTCAAAACCTATTAGCTGGAAATTGTCATATCCCACTGGTCGGGCCCACAGGACAGCAGAGTAGGTAGGTAGGTTCACTTGCTGCCAAGCCTGACAATATGATTTTGAACCCATATAGCAGAAGAGAAGGGAAACCCAAGAGTTTTCCCTCAACCTCCACACACGTGCTATGGCATATGTGCTGTGAAGGGTATGCATGAACACATGAATAGTAATAGCAATATCAACAACAGAATAGTAAAATTATGGGTTGATAGTTGAGGAAACAAATTGAAGAGACTAAATAATGATCATGTGTATGTGTGTGTGTGTGTATGCGCACACGTGTGCATATGTGCACCCATGCTCACCTGTGAGTCAGATTCAAACCCAAGCAATCTGCCTCTTCTTCGCTGCTCCAGAAAAAAAAAATGAAGAAGAAATTCTTATTATCCCTGGGGCTGCTATGATCCCTGCCTGGCTCTGCTTTCACAGAATTTTCAGGACAAAGTACTTTTGTTGGCCGTCCTCACTTGTATGTTTAATAACTGCTATGAAACAGGTACTGGTCCCAACCTGAAGTTCACAATAATGAACACATAGGTATTCTGAAGCTCACACTCAAGAAGGAGGAGGAGAAGGAAGGAAGGAAAGAAGGAAGGAAGGAAGGAAGGAAGGAAGGAAGGAAGGAAGGAAGGAAGGAAGGAGGGAAGGAAGGAAAGGAGAAAGGGAGGGAAGGAGGGAGGATAGAAGATAAGAAGGAAAGATGGAAGAAAGGAAGAAGGCAGAACAAGAACTAAAAGAATGAGGAGATGAGGAGAAGAAGAATAAGAAGGACCCAAGAAAGTCCTCAAAACTCCAAGACTATGAAGGAAATAAGAATAAGTGATAGCATGGCTGGGTGAAAAGCCACTCTGGAGAGGTGACATTTGACCTAAAGCCAGAAGAGAAGAGCAGAAAAAACTGGGGAAAGGTCCAGGGAGAGGGAACAAAGATCCTGGGTGGGACAACCTGAAGGACAGAAGGACCCAAGGGAAATCCAAGACAGCTGGACATCATCAGCCAGGTGATGGGGACAATTGTGACTTAGAGGGGCAAGAGTTTGCTTTAGCTCAACATTCCAGGTGTCAGCCCATTATTTTCAGAAAGTCAAAGTAGCCAGAACTTGAAGCAAATAAGCACATGACATCATAGTCAAAAGCAGAGAGAAATGAATGTTTGCAAGCTTTTTATTGTTTAATTTGCTCATTACACATTGGCAGTCTAAGATCCCCTGGCCAGGGAATAGTGCCACCCACAGTGGGCTAGGTCTTGCCACATCTATTAGCATAATCAAGACAATACCCAACAGACCTGTCTTCCCGCCCACTGTCTGCAAGACGATATATTGTATCAGTTTGACAGTTCAAACTAGCCATCACCTGAGGAGAAGGAAGTCCCTTCCGGAAAGAGGGACTTGTCAGCAGTGTCCATTCTGCTGAGAAGTCAGATGAGGTCCAGGAGCAAGCCACTGCCTTTAGCAATGCTGGGCATGATTGGTGATTGTAACAAGAGGCACCTGGGGACAGGGTGTCAAGTGTTGAAATGAATTGGAAAAGTTTGCCACCTATGGAATCTGTAGCAAATATTAGGTGGTCGTTCCAGAAGTTTTGCCAAGTTACCAGCAGAAACACTGTCAGTATCTATCCGGAAAGGGGTAACAGGACATAGAGGACACTTTGTTGGCAGTCTGTTTACAGGCAGGAGTTACAGGAATATGTTCATATGCCATAGAAACGACACAGTAGGGGGAGAATTAGATTATGCAGAAGAGAGAGCGAGTAAGATATAAAGTCTTTAAGTGGGAGGAGAATGTGGCTCCCATGTGTGCAGGATGGGGAAAGAGATGCCCTCGTGGGCTAGAAAGGAAAGGAATAACTCAAGAATATGTAAATAGGAAAAATAAACAGCATGTGAAATCAATCCATCCCAACTTTCCGCCACTCCCTCCTTTTGCCGTTGTAAAATGAATTGGTGTAGCTTTAAGAACTCTGAAGAAGGCAAGGTGGTGGCTCTTAACATGGGATGAAGGAAACTGGATTGAACTAGACCTTGTGGGAATGACGAATGTGGATCTGGAGGAGAGGACAGGAAGTCAGCGTTGAAGACAGGGAGGTTGGGCAAGAATGCAGAAGACAGACGTGAGGGAGCAGGTACTGCCTGACATTGGTCTCCACTCACTCAGTGCTAAGTAACCAGGTTGCTATGATTTGGAAGTAAGCCAGAATGTTGCATGGGCAAGTCTTCCTTCTGCTCCTCCAAAGTCAGGCCCAAATGCCAGACCACTGTGGTGCGCCAATGTCTGACATCAAATGGATTTCCAGGCACATATTCCTTCTGCTAGATTTGAAAATTTATGAAGAGAACATGAAAAAGCCTAAGAATACATTAGGCTGTTCTTCATATTATATATTATTTTTATTAAATTTTTTCATTGATACTACATACCAACCACAGTTACCCCTCCCTCCTCTCTTTCAGTTCCCTCCCCCACCTCTTGTCTTCCTCCATCCACTCCTCCTCCCTTCAGAAAGGGACAGGACTCCCATAAAAGTCAACAAAACATAACATATCAAGTTGAGTCAGGAATAAGCTCTTCATCCCTGCATCAAGGCTGGGTGACTTGTCCTGGCATGGGGAATAGGTTCCAAACATCCCAGCTCACGTGTCAGGGATAGGTCCTGATCCCACTGCGAGGAACTCCACAGACAGACCAAGCTACACAACTGTCACCCACATGTAGAGGGCTTGTCAACCCCAGAGTCCATGAGTCTTGTGATCCAGAATCGGTAGCTCCCAGCTCAGATCAGCTAGCTTTTGTGGGTTTTCCCATCAAGATCTTGATCCCCTTGCTCATACAATTCCTATTCCCTCTCTTCAGCTGGACTCCTCATGCTCAGCCCAGTGCTTGGCTGTGGAGCTCTGCATCTGCTTGCTTTAGTTACTGGATGAAGGCTGTCTGATGACAATTAGGGTAGCCACCACTCTGATTATAGGAGACAGCTAGTTCACG